CTGATTATGTTATATGGAGAAAGTATTTTCATTTTTTAAAATTTTTTCTACTTGTGGATGTCTATGTACTAATTATTTTTATAGGATTATCTGGCCTTCTGTCAACTAAATTAATTGCACAAACAACTTTACAGTAGGAAAAACATAAACCCAAAGCACCACTATTTACTTCCCTTTGTCAGCTTTCCTCTCATTCTTACCAAAAACTATGTACTTTCATAGTTATGATCAGTGCATACATGTTGTTTTATGTAGACTTTTCACACACACTTTTGTTTGGGATTTTCTAGGAATTAGAATAATTCTTTTTTTTTTTTTTTTTTGGTAAAAGCATCACAGTGTTTCAATATATTCATGTACATTTATACAATTTAATGATTAATCAACATTTTGATTAATAAGAACTTCTGAATTTGATCAGTACAATAGAAACTACTAACTCTTAACGATGACCCTGAGGTTTTGAGCAGATCAAAATCAGCTTCTGAGTCTTCAAAGGAGAATTAAATGTACTTTTATTTAGAAAAGTGTTTTTATTTACATGAGATTTTTCTTTTGAAAACTACTAATGACTTAAACCAGATAACAAACCTTTAAAGTAGCATATTCTAACTGGCGATCTAAATTAAAAGAAAAAAAAAAAGTAGGTACGTGTCCACACCAAACAGTTATTATCTTAAAATAGTTTGTATAGCAAATTTGGCAAATGAACTGAGGTAAAGAATGGACATAGAGGGACAAACAATTTGAGTAAATGTGGTCATTTGGTTATGTGTTTGACACTGTTGGGTAGTCAATAAAATCACCAGTTGCCATCGGGTTGACTCCAATTCATGGTGACCCCTTGTATGCCAGAGTAGAACTGTGTTTCATAGGGTTTTCAATGACTGATCTTTCAGAAGTAGATAACCAGGTTTTCTTCTGAGGTCCCTCTAGACCAAAAAACCAAACCCATTGCTGTCCAGTCGATTCCAACTCATAGCAACCCTATAGGACAGAATAGAACTGCCCCATAGGGTTTCCAAGGAGCAGCTGGTGGATTTGAACTGCCAACCTTTTGGTTAGCAGCCAAGTGCTTAACCACTGTGCCAGCAGGGCTTTTTCCATAGACAAAGACAACTACCAACTGCTCTGACTGGGATCCCAGCAGAGGGTCCCAGACAGAGCAAAAGAAAATTGTAAAACAAAAAAATCAAATTCACAAAAAAAGAAAAAACAAAAAGAAGAGTCCAGCCTTGCTGGGCTGGTAGAGACTGGAGGAACTCCCTTGACTTGCCCTAAGACATGCTTCTGACCTGGAAATGAAGCCATTCCCGGAGATCACCTCCCAGCCAAACAACAGACAACTACGTAAGATAAACAATAACACGCAAGAGGAACGACATACTCCTTAGGACAATCAGTTATAAGATGAGAAGGCAGGAAGGGGTAGATAATCAGGATGAAAGAAAATGGGGAAACCAGAGCAGAAATGAGGAGAGTGCTGACACATTGTGGGGAATGGAACCAAGGTCATGAAACCGTTTATGTACAAACTATGGAATAGAAAACTAATTTTCTCTGTAAACTTTCACCCAAAGCACAATAAAAAAAGAAGAAGAAAGAACACAGGCAGCCGAGGCAGCTGCTTGGGGGCAGATGACCCTTGAGCACTTTTCGTCATGGGTGGGGTGGGGTGGAGATGGACAAAAAAGAGATGAGCTTCCAGACCCAGGAACCTAGAAGGCCAGCACCATGGTGGGGAAGGAGCTCTGGTGGTGCAGTGATTAAGAGCTCAGCTGCTAACCAAACGGTCGGCAGTTTGAATCCACCAGTTGCTCCTTGGTAACCCTGTGGAGCAGTTCTACCCTGTCCTGTTATGAATTAGAATCGACTCGACTGCAGTGGGTTTTGGTATGGTGGAGAAAGAGTATAGACCAAAAAGATGGCCATCACTGAAGGGAAACTTTCCAACTTGATGTTACAAATCAAACAGCTTTCTGCCTTGACTATAGATGGAAGTACCTAGAGAGGGGAGTGTTTTAAATTCAACAAAAGAGAACCTTCTCAAAGATGTTTTAGAGCCTATAATTTCAAACTTTCTCTCTATGTTAAGTCCTCATGATCCAATCCAAAGGCTTGTCCATTTTGCCCAGGGCACAACTGCTTTCAGACTTTCAGTAGAACCAACGTTATTATTATATCAATTCAAGCTTCTCAAGTGGGATAAATATATTGTGATGGACCAGCACTGTTGGTATAACGATCTATGCATCCAAAAAAAAAAACCCAAACCCATTGTCGTTGAGTTGATTCCAACTCATAGCGACCCTATAGGACAGAGTAGAACTGCTCCATAGGGTTTCCAAGGAGCAGCTGGTGGATTCCGGCTGCTGCTGACCTTTTGGTTAGCAGCTGAACACTTAACCACTCCACCACCAGGACTCCAATTTATGCATATACATATATAAAACATACAAATAAGTATCCCATAGTTCATGGTTCCTTTAATTGCATTTGTTGAATAGCTGCATGGTGCAAAATCTCTTTCCTGTACAAGGGTTTCTTGATTATTTCAGCAGGACACACCTGTCCAGAGAAACATGCTCATTTGTCATAATTAATCTTCATTAGAAAGAATTCAGTTGATCCCTGCATTTCTTACGGAAAAGGGGATTGTTTTTTATTAACACCCAAAACAGATGTAAACACCTCAAAAGGAGCAAGCTAGCACTCAGGCAACATATAGCCACCTTTCAAAACCTGAAAGGAGAAAACATCTTTAATATCAATATACAATATACTACAACCAATGTTTATCCTCTGTCCACAGTGACAGATAATTAGGTCATTACAAAACAGCTACTTCAGTCATAAGATTCTGCTGTGACATACAGAGATATGTCTGCATCATCTAAGGAAAAAGTCAGAAAATTTGTTCTTAGGGTTCCTTTATGAGTCCATGCTTGTACATATGTTTTTCACATCACTTGCATCCATGACAGTAGTATGGGACAAAGTGTTGGAGATGGGGAGTGTGGTAAAGAGACCCCCCTAATGCTCCTAGTGCTGCTCTGGATGCACTGACTCTCAGTCATTCCTCTAGGAGACCAGCAGGGACTCAGTTAAGGGTTTGGCTGAGAACACTAGTTGATGTTTGTATCAACTCATGCTGTTTACAAAGCTTGGCACTCTATAAAAATGTGACTCTTTGCTTCTCAGACAGTACTGTATCTTTCTTATAAAAATTGTCTATCTTAAAAAGCTTCTTTTCAGCCTGATCCACAGCTATTTATAACCTTGACAAATGTTTGAGATTGGAATTTGGTTGCTTGTGTTAATACAGTCTATGTAATAAAATATAATTTTGGATTCTTCCCACTAGTACTTTAAAATAGATACTCCAAAAAATTCTTTACATTAACAATATATCATATTATAAAGTATATTATATATGTACAGTATATTTTAATCCTTGCTTTAAAAATTCATGCACAGAGGGAAAAAAAACATAGGGTATATACCAAATTGTTTACAGTATTATTCTGGGAAGTGGGGATTATGTGTGTATTTCTCGTCTTCATCTTTTTTCCTGTATTTTCTAAATGTTTGATAGATAATAAACAGATATTATTTTTTACAAAAAGAAAGTGTTTTCAGATTGACTCTCAAGAGCTTTAACGATTGCAAGTTTGAGATCTATCAAGTCTACATGCTCAAAGTCTAGGCTGTGCTGTCCAATATGTAACCATTGGAAACAACTGTTATTTAAAATTATATTTAAATTAATTAAAGCAAATTAGATTAATAAAAAATTCAATTTCTCAGTCATACTAGCCACTTTTCAAGTTTCAGTGGCTTCATTTCTACAAAGTTCTATTTGAAAGCCCTAACGGAGCATGGGTGACCAAACTACGCCCTGGGTATCAAAGACGGAGATTAGGCTACTTTTCAGTGGCATAGGAATGAACATATGCTTTTCCCCATAGATACTTCTTGTCACTACTTTTACCCAGTTCCCTCTATACACCTCACTAACCTGTGGCCCAGAAGCTCAGAGATTCTTCCCACAGCCATCATCTAGTTTAGTGACAAAGCAAGGACTGGAAACCAGAGCTAAAACCAAACCAAACCAAACCTATTGCCAATTCAGACTCATTGTGACCCTATAGGACAGAGTAGAACTGCCCCATAGGGTTTCCAAGGAGTGGCTGGTAGATTTGAACTGCTGACTTTTTGGTTAGCAGCCATAGCTCTTAACTACTACACCACCAGGGCTCCAAACCAGGGCTACTAACTCCTAATTCATAGCTCCTGCCTCCACATCACTTTTACCATCTTCCCCCCAAAACTAAATCTTCCCTGCCAATACTCCAGTTTAATTCAATTTGATATAATTTCCTAGACATTTTCTTTTGAGAGCTTACAGTGTGATAGGTACCATAATAGGCTTTGAATATACAAAACCAACTAAGACACATTCCCCTACCCCCAAGGGGTGTCAAGTGTAAAAACAGAAGGGTACGCTAGGTAGAGTAATAGCCCAAAGTAGCAATGGGTCTCTTCCTCTTGGGAGATCCAGAAGTGCTTCACACAGGTAAATATGTCTGAGACGTATCTTGACATTTGTGCATCCAAATTCACAAATCATCTCTTCCAGGATTGCCAGTTTTCCCCACCCTCCAGAAGAAGACAGCTCAGACTCTGTTCTGGAAATGCAGTTGATCCCTGACCTAATATTGCTTTTACTTCATGTGAATTAGTTAGTCTCAATTCTATTACAATTGACTAGGTTTCTCATTTTCATGACTGTTTCTATACATTTAAAATAATTTTAAGTCTTCAAATAAAATAAAGTACTGTTTTCGTATTTAGTCATCTGTTTCATTTTGGACTATATAAAAGCAAATAAGAAATTTGATGAATGATTGTTTTCAGCCAGTTTTTCTGGAAATGTTTAAACACAGGTGAAGAACCTGGAATTCACAGTTCTCAAATAACTCATATTCCTGTATTTGAACAGATGCGATGCTCTTGGTGGCAGAGAGACTGGAAGGACCATTCAACATTGAGTCTGTCATGGACCCTATAGACGTCAAGATTTCTGAAGCCATTATGAACATGCAAGAAAACAGCATGCAGGTGTCTGCAAAGGTATTTGCATTAGTCATGTGTCTACTAACAAGGAAAAGTGTAATAATCTAAAAATGAAGTAATTAGATATGTCAGCCGGGATTATAAATTCTAACACGTTGTCAGTGAGCTTTTGCTGTCGAGCACAAATTTGCTACCTCATTATAAATGTCTAACGACATTGAGAAGAGAAGCAATCTTTTCGTTCACAACTAGTCAATCATGAAGAAATTATTGGCTGCGAAAAAGTTTCGGAGAGTCCCAAGTATGTTGACTAATCCCTCACCTTTGTGAGCAATTTGAGGGGGGTGGATTTTCATTTTAATGTTTGAAATTTCTGCATGTTCTCACCATGCTTTCTCTCTCTAGTAACTTCTAATTATATCTTAAGCTGTGCAAACCAGGCAAATGCTCTATACGTTCAATTGTAAATAATTAAACATCCCATCTGACTTCCTTTCAAGACTGCGGTGCAGCCTTCATTAATGACTCTTCAGGGGAAAGTGCTCGTTTGCATGACGTCAACCACACATTAAAAAAAAAGTAGTACATTTTCATAAATCATATGAGACAGAGCTCCTGGGTTTGCAGCTGCAAGTACCAGGTGCACAGTTTTTATTTGTCTCTACTCAGTTGAAGATAAACAGGACCTGCCTTAAGCAAAATTGAGAAGTTTGCAGTGGGTCTCCAGCCGTTTCCTTCATCACTCCTTTTCTCCCACATTGATGACTGGACAATGCCCTTTTGTTCTCTTTACCAGCCTCTCTAGCCTGAAACAGTCACCCTATCAATATCAGCCCTTTTAATCTGGTGATCGAGTGATTGCATTTTAATTGAAATGCAATCTAAACGCACTAAAATGTTATGTCAGGCAAGCAGTTGCATGCTTAGATTTCTTCAATTTTTAAAATCTTTTGTGGAAGAGATTTCAAATTTAATCAAGGGAAGGACAGGGTAAAAAAAAAAAAAAAAAAAAAAACCAAACCCATTGCAGTCAAGTCAATTCCAGTAGTAGGGAGAAAATTCAGGGGAGAATGAGAGCCAGAGAGCCCTACTAGGACTCCTTGGCTGAGTATGAATCAAACTAGATCTGAACTGGGAGACAGTGGGGTTGTCTTAGTTACCGAGTAGTGCCTTAACAAACAGTTTCACAACTGGGAGGCTTTAAAGAACAGAAATTTATTTTCTCTTAGGTCGGGAGGCTAGAAGTCCAAATTCAGGACGTGGCTGTACGGGGAGGTCCTTCCTGGTCTTCTTCAGCTTCTAGTAGCCGGCAATCCTTGGAGCTCCTGGGCTGGTAGATGCCTCTGCTGCATGTGTCTGTCCTCATATGGCTTCTTCCCTCTAGGAGTGTCTCTGTGCCCATTCTGTACTGCTTACAACTCAGGACCCACCCTAAGGTGGTATGACCTCATTAACATAACAAAAGAAAACTCCTGTTTTCAAGTAGGGTCATGTTTACAGGTACAGAAGTTACAATTTTAATACCAATTTTAGGGGAATACAATCCAACATAAATAACATAGGGAAAGAAGGGATCTGTCCTGGGTCCCTTTCTTTCCCTGGGAAACAGCTGGGCCAATAACATCTTTCATAGGCTTAGTTTTGGGTTTCAGTGGGTTTGGGTAACCTATACAAAGGAAGATGCTCCTGATTACCATTGCCTACTGGGGAAATGGAAACCCTGGTGGCATAGTGGTTGAGAGCTATGGCTGGAAACCAAGAGGTCACATTTGATGAGACTGTTCACCAACAGTGACTAAGGGTCCTTTGAAAAAGGAAAAATTGAGTCACCTAGACTTTAGCCAGAATGCAGATTTTAAACTCTAGTTCATGGATGTGGCTTACATGGAAAATGAAAAAAAAAAAAAAAATCCAAATTTGAAAGAAAAGTCTATTCCCTTGATGAAATAAAGCCTCTTTTCAGAACATATCCAATCCAGCAATAAATCCTATTTGTGCTTCCTGCTAAACTTGTGGAGATTCCAACCACTTTATAAAAGGCTGGTTTGGGTCAACAGTTCAAATCCACCAGGCACTCCTTGGAAACCTTATGGGGCAGTTCTACTCTGTCCAATAGGGTCGCTAAGAGTCAGAGTCGACTCGACAGCAACGGTTGTTTATTGGGGAAATAGTGTGTTTGGGATTTCCATGGAAGGCCATTTTCTTTCTTCCCAGTGGCAAAATAGCAGTCTTCTATGCCTTTCAAATCTATGTCCTAGAGGCCAATTAATGTTGTTTTGAGAGGAAAATATCCCAGCAGCCCTTGAGTAACCAGACACTACTGTCACTGATATTCAAAATGGCTCTAGAGAATTGGGTATGGGAAAACTGATGGACAAAGTGTCTGTGGTTTGAGACGCTTACATGTTTCTTAGATGTAGAGCACAGTTTCCATTGGTATGTGTGTATACACGTTCAAGTCAAGTGTTCTGTTAAAAATGCTTCTTAGGAGGTCAGATGGACTCTTTATTACCAGAAGGTGGATGAGACATTTTTATGGAATTTGTCCAACGAAGTTATAATAATATTGCTGTTAAAAAGAAGGTACTTTTTTAAAGACACAATTCTTTTTCATAAGAAATGTCAAAATCAGGGGTATCAATGTTACAGGGCATGTAAGAGTGCCCTCAGACACATCATATGAGTGGTTACAGTATGAAGAGTCATAAAGTCCTAGTACAAAAATGTCAAATGAACTGGAAACAAAACGAGGGAGAAATACATATGGGAGTCTTGGCAAAGAGGAAAGAAGATGGAAGGGGTTAAGGAAGGGTAGAGAGAGAAAGGAGTACTTACGCCCTTCAGAAGGCAAGCAATCTGATCAAGAAGGACCAAAACCAGCCTTTTATAAAGTGGTTGGAATCTCCACAAGTTTAGCAGGAAGCATGAATAGGATTTATTGCTGGAATGGACATGTTCTGAAAAGAGGCTTTATTTCAACAAGGGAATAGACTTTTCTTTTAAATTTGGATTTTTTTTTTTTTTTTTTTTTCATTTTCCACGTAAGCCACATCCATGAACTAAAGTCTAAAACCTGCATTCTGGCTAAAGTCTGGCTGACTAAATTTTTCCTTTTTTGAAGGACCCTTAGTCACTGTTGGTGAACAGTCTCATCAAATGTGACCTCCTGGTTTCCAGACTTCAGCTGGAATATTTGCTTAACTAGAAACATTGATAACTTCTCATAGATGAGCTTCGAGTGAGACCAGAAGCTGTTTCCTAATTGGGAGACAGACATCCTAAGAGTTGTAAAGCTTAGAAATTAAAATGGCTTTTTACTCCTGGATATGATTGGTAACCTCTCCTTGGAAAAGCATTTATCTTATTAAAGCATTCAAAGCTGAAAGAAGTCATTCCCAGAGCCTCTTTCAGAAAAGCAACAATAGCTGCCCACTCATGTTGAGTGCTTACTGTCAGAGATTGCTTTACGTGAATTTTATTATATAATATTTACAATGATGCTTATGGTGAGCTAGCATTTTGCTGATAAGGATACCAGTGCTTAGAAAAGTAACTTACCAAGGTCTCGTGGTGTGTGAAGGATAAAGGACTGTCTGATTCCAAAGCCCATGTTGCTAATCGCTGCTTAAAAACGATGCCAGTGCCTACAGAACCTATTTCATACAAAGGGTGGGGTTTGGTAAATGTTTACTGACTAGATCAAGAATAAAGAGAAAGTTCAACAGCTTTCAGTAAAACCTGTGTGAGAAGGTAAGGAAACATGTTGTTGTTGTTAGCTACCATTGAGTTGTCTTGGGCTCATGATGACCTTACGTACAAGGGAAGGAAACTCAGCCTCCTCCTGTACCAAATCAGACTGTTGTGACCCATAGGGTTTTCACTGGCTTATTTTTGGAAGTAGATAGCCAAATCTGTCTTCCTAGTTTGTCTTAGTCTGGAAGCTCTGCTAAAATCTGTTCAGCATCATAGCAACACGCAAGCCTCTACTGACAGAGGGATGGTGGCTGCGCCAGGAGGAGCATTGGTCAGGTATCAAACCCAGTTCTTTGGCATGGAAGGTGAAAATTCTACCGCTAAACCACGCAGAGTGGTGGCAAAGCCAGGAAGACTCAGGCTATCTGTTTTTCTGTCTGCTTCCCAGTTCATGTACTTTACAACTATGCCATAGTGCTTCCCACCATTCTAAGGTCTAATTAAATATTTCTCTTACTCAGCCTAATCATTCATTGCTTTCGTACTTTGCTAAATTTTAATAGTACAAAATATAATGTTCTACCTCTTTCTTCTTTCTGTGTCTGAAGGCCAAAGATGAACACACCACAGTTTTAGATATGAAATCCCCTTCCCCTGATGCAGCAGTTCTCATCACATCTGTGGGAGGGAATAGCTAATCTTTCAGCATCTAATAATTGAGTTCATGAATTAGTGGAATTTACAGACTAATACAAAGATCTGTTCTCACCATGAATGATCCAAACTTACCTCAGATTTGTTTTTATAGGAATTGTCAGGTTATTTTTTCTCTGCTGTTTAGCCCACAGGTAAGGTGTTGGAGGTGAGTGACATTGAGATTCCCTTTGAAAAATACATTGGCTATAGAAAATTGTATAATGAAGTTATAATATTTTGGTTATAACATTATGGCGCTGATTACAAGCTCTAAATTTTTATACCTTTTACATAATATTATATGTACAAATGAGTTTTTTTAAACTTAAGAGAAAAAACATAATAAGACTTTTCTTGATTCCCTTTTGGACAAAGAATCCCCTAGCAACAGTCATAATCATCATGGCTACCATTCATTCTACGTTCATTCAACAAATAGCCTCACAGGGGTGAGGAATACAGCAGACGAGTATATAGTCTCTGCTTTCATGCCAGTCTGTTTCTAAATGCCTTACATATTTATTTATTTTTTATTGTTTACTTTAAGGAAAGTTTACAATTCAAGGTAGTCTCTCATACAAAAATTTATACATACATTGTTATGTGACCCTAATTCTCTCCCTATACTGTGACAGCACACTCCTCCTTTCCACCCCTGAATTCCCGCA